CCATTTATTAAACATCTGTATTTCAGCCTTAGGCATTTATACACATTTGTTGTTCATTAGCACAAGTGAGGCATTTTATTTGACGTGCAGATGCCGAGTAGCAGGGAGCCATCTTGTTTTATAGACTTTAGACTATGCAGGAATGTTAAATGAGACAAAAAATGTGAACGTATAAAGAAACAAAAGTTTTTTTTTTATCATATTGCAAATGAAATGTTTTAAAAAGCTGTTGACCAAGAGCTATACCTTTATAAATAATCCATATTAATAATGAACAAATCAAAGCAGTTATGTATTGTGTAAAAATAGGATCATTTTGTCTTTTATTTCATCTATTCAGGAACAAACATTTGGGACAAATACATTATTAATAAATTGAGGCTGTGTTATAGTCAGATTGGTAAAATTTTAGAAGAACTTTACCTACAATAGTGACAGAATACAGTGGTTTGCAAAAGTATTCATACCCCTTGAACTTTTCCATATTTTGTCACATTACAACCACAAACATAAATATATTTCACTGGAATTTAATGTGAAAGACCAACACAAAGTGGTATACAATTGTGAAGGGGAAGCAAAATTTTACATGAATCAAAACATTTTTTACAAATAAAAAACTGAAAAGTGCGATGTGCAAAATTATTCAGCCCCCCTGAGTCAATACTTTGTGGAGCCACCTTTTGCTGCAATTACAGCTGCAAGTCTTTTAGGGTATGTCTCCACCAGCTTTGCACATCTAGTGACTGCAATTCTTGCCCATTCCTCCTTGCAAAACAGCTCAAGCTCAGTCAGATTGGATGGAGAGCGTTTGTGAACAGCAGTTTTGAGATTTTGCCACAAATTCTCAATTGGGTTTAGGTCTGGACTTTGACTGGGCCATTCTAACACATGAATATTCTTTTTTTTTTAAACCACTCCATTGTAGCTTTGGCTTTATGTTTAGGGTCGTTGTCCTGCTGGAAGGTGAACCTCCGCCCCAGTCTCAAATCTTTTGCTGACTCCAACAGGTTTTCTTCCAAGATTGCCCTGTATTTGGCTCCATCCATCTTCCCATCAACTTTGACCAACTTCCCGGTCCCTGCTGAAGAGAAGCACCCCCAGAGCATGATGCTGCCACCACCATATTTGACAGTGGGGATGGTGTTTTCAGAGTGATGTGCAGTGTTCTTTCTCTGCCACACATAGCGTTTTGCATTGTGGCCAAAAAGTTCAATTTTGGTCTCGTCTGACCAAAGCACCTTCTTCCACATGTTTGCTGTGTCCTCAACATGGCTTCTGGCAAACTGCAAACGGGACTTCTTATGGTTTTCTTTTAACAATGGCTTTCTCCTTGCCACTCTTCCATAAAGACCACATTTGTGTAGTGCACGACTAATTGTTGTCCTGTGGACAGTTTCCCCCACCTGAGCTGTGGCTCTCTGCATTTCATCCAGAGTCACCATGGGCCTCTTGGCTGCCTCTCTGATCAGTGATCTCCTTGTTCGGCCTGTAAGTTTAGGTGGACGGCCTTGTCTTGGCAGGTTTACTGTGGTGCCATACTCTTTCCATTTCCGGATGATGGATTGAACAGTGCTCCGTGAGATGTTCAAAGCTTGGGAAATCTTTTTATAACCTAAGCCTGCTTTAAACTTCTCCAAAACCATATTCCTAACCTGTCTGGTGTGTTCTTTGGACTTCATGATGCTGTTTGCTCCCCAATATTCTCTTAACCAACATCTGAGGCCGTCACGGAGCAGCTGTATTTGTACTGAGATTAGATTACACACAGGTGGACCCTTTTGAGTCATTAGCAGTCATCAGGCAACTTCTGAATGCAATTGGTTGCACTCAGGGAAAAGGGGGCTGAATACTTTTGCACGTCGCACTTTTCAGTTTTTTATTTGTAAAAAATGTTTTGATTCATGTAAAATTTTGCTTCCACTTCACAATTGTATACCACTTTGTGTTGGTCTTTCACATTAAATTCCAGTGAAATATATTTATGTTTGTGGTTGTAATGTGACAAAATATGGAAAAGTTCAAGGGGTATGAATACTTTTGCAAACTACTGTAAATTAAATACAGTCACAAAATACAATAAATCAGTCAACCAGTGCAACACAATATAAAAAAAGTTGAAAAAAGTGAAAACAAAAGTCTAGTTAAAATAAGATACGATAAGATTAGATAAGATATACTTTATTGACTCCAAGGGAAATTTGTTGCAGGCGAAGGTACAGCGACTGACACGTCACCGTACTATTCTCAGCAAATTAAAACGTGGCATCTGAAACTACAAACAATGAACTTGCACCAAGATAAATAGTATTGCACATTCTGACACAACTTCATTGATGAAAACCAGTAATAACCCAATTAAAATTTGAGCAATATAATCACACATAAGAACAAAACAAGGAGTAGTTACTGTTATAAAAACATATTTTAAACTCCATAATGTGATTACTTATCCTTACATGCATTTGCTTTCATCATACCCATTCTTATATGGCTTTGAGCAGAACAGTGTTGATAGGTCTATAAGAAAGCCCCCCAAAATCAATATTTCTGCACTCCAGTGGGAAGAAATATAAGTGAGCCACGTGTGGACCTGTGTGTATGCGTGTACATGTGTAGGTTTACAGAGTGAGCGAAGCAGACAGGCGGACATAGAGGTGTACCCGGTGTCTTTGAGGTCAGGGGCTAGGTGGAGTGTTAGCTGTAACGACACCTGACAGCAACTAGGTGGATTGGGCTTGGCAGTTCTGTACATTCGTGTCACTACTAATAAAAGTCAGCACCTGCGGAGCCACTGGGTTCTCCATACAGGACAGAGAGCGGAAGATGAGAACACTTCCTGTCCTCGTGTCCCAACCTGTCCCTCTGATGCTCACTGAGCAGACTAGTGGCGACAGCTGCGACCGCCATTGGTTGCTTGAGGAGTGAAGGTGGCAACCCTGTCAGTGGCCCAGGTAGGTGCAGAGCTACATGGCACCAGGTGATTGGAGCCAGAATGAAACCTGAATGTAGTTTTGTAACAGCCAAGGGCAAACGAAAATCTACAGAACTTTGTGTTACTGTAGTTTAAAAAAAAGGTTCAAAATCTCTGATGGCAGTTGATGGATCAATGTTCATCTTAAAACAATCCTTGGTCATCATGAAACAAAGCAAAATAGTCAATTTATATGCTTTAGTATATAATCGTCACTGGTGTTGGCTTTATTATGGCCAATGCATTGAATTAAAAGTAATTTATTGCCATCTAAGGTTCACATCTAGACATTCAGAGGGATACCAACTTTATGCCTTTTTTTTTGCTGCAGCACATTTATCACAGTTCAAATGCACTTAGTTCAAATTGGAAATCTTAGAATCTGGCATCAGTTAAAAGCAAAACATTAAATGTTTTGCGTGGGCATAGATTGCCAGTATATTTCTCTAGACTTCCTTTAATAAAAATGCTGATATGCAACTTCTCTGTAATACAGAAAAAAAGGGAGTAATTGTCAAATAGGTGGGGTCCCCCCCACCCCACTCCTGCAAAATAAATAAATAAATAAATAAATAAAAAGACTGAAAATAAGGGCTGGCTCCTGAGCACTTAAGTAAAAACCAACTTTGCATGTCCCTGGTGTAGTAGCCTGTGGAAAAACGTCACCTTCAGCAGCAGAGTATGGAGGACAGGAAAGGAAGGTGGTGGGGCCGTAAAGGAAACAGTGGGGGGAGGTAAATGTGGATGTATGGGCTGCAACATTTAAGTCTTCAGTAAGCAGCTCCTTATGTCCTCCTGTTTGGAGTTACAGAAGGGACAGGAGGGCAGGTGTTTCTGCATGGCTGAAGACCCCGACACCTTGGGGGACCCACTGAACTGGGAGGAGGAAGGTGGGGCAAGACAGCAAACTGAAACCGACACGTGACAAATACTAGCTTTTTCTCTCGCTTTGGTTCCATTACCTTCCCCCACTTTCCCCCCTGTATCTGAAGACCCTCAGAGAACATTTGCATGCACTTCTAAGCAGCCTCTGCATATTCACTCCCCATACATGTTTCAATGGCAGTTTTCTAATAAAACCTGTCCCCCCCAATGTGAGGCCCACCATACACATTAGAAGCTGTGAAAAGCTGCTTCATTTCTCTCTGGTGAAATGAAGCTTTACTTAAATAAAAATGACATTCCCTTTCAAAATAGTTTTGTCGCTTCCAGTTTTGACTGATATGCAAGAACTACAAAAGCACACTAGACATGGGTTTTTACGATGTAAAAACAAGTGTGCATTGCCATGTAGCATGGCTTTGCCTGCAGCATTGGACTTTCAGAATGAACTTTGACCAAGTTCAAATGTGTTCGCTATACCAGCTTGTGCCTGTCACGTCAGCAGGTGTTTGTAATTAAGGTAATTGTGTGACAATATGAAGTTTGAAGAGATTTTTGTTAAAGTTGCAGTAGCTGGATTTGAACCCTGATCTCCCGCATAAAAGCCCACAGTGCTCATCATGAGACTATAGAAGATGTGGCAGAGGACAATCCCAGGGATTGGATTTTATGTCTATAGAAAAAGTTTACCTTGCCAATGTAATTATTGACACTTAAGTGCAATATATTACAGCAATAGGACAACACAAAGACAGTATTACAGTAAAACATCAAAATACAATCATATTAATATTGTAATCACTGAACTACTGAGTTTAAATATTATGAAACTATGGTGCAGTACCATATTGTGTAGATGCAGCAGGGGGCAGTATTGGACCAATACAAGGCTCCATTGACTGCCAATATAATTTATTAAACATTAATATTTCAAAAACTATAAGTTTTACAGGCACCAAAAGGCATAGCCATCATCTGGCACAGGGGCTTTACGGATATAAATTACAATGGCAGCTCTAGGACAAAGTATGCAGGAGGAGAAGCGTGGCAAAGTTGAAATGACTTGGATGGGAACTGATTAACTGAGTTAAAAACCTACAATATGTTACCTTAAATAAATAAACTTCAAGTAAGCACAACACTCTGACACAGATTTAAAGTTTATTCACACATAACATACTACAGTGGATAATGTATTCAAGAAACATTGAACAGCGCTGTCATATATGTCACAGGAAAAAACAAAACAACAACAAAAACAAAAAGGAAACAAAAAACGGAACCTTTTCTTTTCCATTATATAAAAATAGTGTTGCTACAAAAGTATAAATTAGGTTTACTAATAAGACAACTGAGATCTGGATCTACACAGGAAACTGCTGCCAAAGTGCGATTAAAAAGACTAAATAAACAGAATGCAACATTATTTCTTTTTCTTTCTTTTTTGTGTTTTGCAGAGTATAAAAAGGAAGAAATGCCTGTAAAATAGGATGAAAGCAACACCAAGTTCTTAACCTGAATTAATAGATTAGATGAACAGATCTCCATGTTAGCATTCATAAACCACACTTTTTATTATCTGAATAAGTTAAAACCCTAAAAGAAAATAAAATTTACAGCTGAATTCAGTTTCCTAGTATTAGTATCTAAGTTGAGTTTTCTTCTATTATATCAAAACGTTTTGAAATGCTACTGTAGAAAAAAGAGGTATAATGTCATTAGTGCTCCCTACTTTGATCTCTTGAATGAAGGTGCCCCCTTGTGGCATAAAAACAGCAGTTCTCCCATATTTACATCCTCCAAAGATGGTTGATGTCCAGCCATGAACACCAACCAGTTATCAGAACAGCTACTTCCACCTCGAAAGGTAAAAATTCAGTCATCTGACTCTTTCTGAGGGTCTTAGCATCGCCTCAGAGTCAAAATGATTAATTACCATCTGATGAGAAACACTGGTTTATAACATTATATATCCTTACTCTTGTTAAAAGCATGCATATTTTAGATATACTTCTCATTTAATAAACAAAAAAAAGTTATTTCTAAGAAAATTAAGTTGACATTTTTTTTGTCAACAATGGCATTTGTCCCAGAGCATATCCTATTAATAACTGAAAGAAAACAGTAAGAAAAGTCCCTTCATCAGAATAACTGAGATTACCTGTTAAAACCACAAACCATGTACAGTATTTTGAACATTTCTTTGACCAAACCTACATTTCCTGCAACAAACTTATTCCCAATCATTAAACAACAATACTTCCTTCTGAGTATCTGAGTACTGAGGTAAAACATTGGATTTGTAGTTGAAATTTTAATTTAAATATACTTTATAATCATTTTCTTTTTTACCAAAATATATATAAAAATGAAGATATTCTAACAAGCCATAAGGAAGAGAAAACATTTATGAAACACTAAGCTTGGAGGTAAGAAGGCCTACAGTTTACTAAAAAAAAATGTTACATAGCTGAGAAACAACTTGCAATGCAGAGCTTCTGATTTATGTAAATTTGTGTTTTACACCTTTATTGCCACCTTTAAAATACAGACAATAATAGTTTGAAAGAAAGCTAACGCATCAGCACTTCTGGAAATGAAACAGATCCTTTATGTCACAGAAACCATAGTCTGATCTATTTAGGCCTTACACTGATGCTGTTATGGTTCATGCAAATGCCCTCTCCTTTTTTGTAGTTTACATTCACTTTGAACCACTTTGAATTCAACAGCTGTGCTCTCAGTCATGAAAACAAACAAAATGTTTCAGCTCTAATTCTGATCACTGTGAGGGGTCAGGTGGCAGTTTTGAACTTCATTATTCTGATGCTGCAAAGCACCTCTGTGACATGAACTATGGAGACATTTTGTGTTTAAAAAAAATAAGTGGGACACGGAGTTATCCAGACACAAACTCTAGAAAACACAACTTTTATAAACTCTTAATTATGAGGTAAGGGGGCTTTTAGGTATTAAAAATAATACTTTTTTGTAAAAGTGACAGGTTGCCTTTGGATGAAGGAAGGGAATAAATAAACGACGCATATGGTGTTAAATCAAATAACTGCATGGCAGCCTTAGAGAAAAAGCAAAAAATCATAATGTGTAAAAATAGCCTTAACATCCTTCTGTTAACACAAAATCAAAATCAATGTTTTAATCTATTGAGTCTTTTTTCTTTCTTTTTTTACAGTGGATTTCTTAGTTTTGGCTTATTAAATTATTACTGACCCGTTTTAGAAACTAAACTATAACGCTTGCATGCACTTTAAGCAGCACAGTTGTACAAGACTTAAACAGTAGTCATGTGGCCACTAGAGGTCACTATTTTCAGCAAGTCCCTGCAAGCCTACATAAAAAGGCGGGGGTGGGAGACAAAATCACAACAAGAAAATAAAAATAAAAATGCTTACAAAAGGCCATTTACTGACAATAAAAAGGCATGATGACTGAAGGGTTTTAAATGAGCACATGGAAGAAAACTTAAGGCCCAAAAAACTGAGATAACAAACTAGCACTCGACTAGTTAATCCCCAAGGCAGCAAATAAACAGCAGAGCCTTCATTCATCTAAGCCATGTTAGGAGGTATTAGTACAGGTAGATGTTGACCAAAATATGAACATATATTGTATATAGAACAAAAATTACTTGACTTTTTGAGTATGAGTAACTTTAGCGAATCAATTGGTCGAAAACAACAAATATTTCTCAGTGTTTCTTCTTTTTTTCCCCCAAATGGCACCAACTGTTTTTGGGGTGGAAGTTTTCACAAAACATCATGGTTACCAGTAGGTATTTGCCTCAGCAGCGAGGTCACAGTTTGGTTTCTTTTTTGTTACAGTGAGAAAAAGTGGCGGTGCCTGCTCGGATGTGCTCATTCCTGAGAAAACCCTATTGACTTGACAAGCGCTCAACGATTCGCAGTTGATAATTAACTCGAGGAGTGTCATGAGAACAGTCAGAAAAAAATCGGGAACCGTTTGCTGTGATAAAGCTTATTGCCTTGAAAATGGAAATCTATAGCTTACATAAGGAAGACGATGTTTGTAATCGAACGATAAACAAGAAATCAACAATAAATATAATACCCTTTCCTATGAAGAGGTTTTTAACATAACTTGAAAAATAAATACAAATCCACATACACACTCAAAAATTATGAATTAATCCTTGAAAACAGGCTTACTAAATGTGAAAAATTTCAGTACTGCTGTTTATGTGATACAAATGGATGGGCAAAGAATTTGAATATGCAATGCACTCCAGGCATGGGCCAGTATGGTATAACCTTTAGAATTGTCATGGTTTCACTGTATTTGTGATGAGCAGTGATTTTGAAGTCTAGTTAAAATGTGAGTTCCAAGAATGACTGAGACCAATGTGGCTGTCTTGTTACTTTTACACCTGCAACTGGTAGTGACAAATTTTCTAAGGTCACGTTTATATATATATATATATTGCATTTCCAGCATTTTTCTTCCATGGTAATTTAATACGAAAATATCATAAAATGGAAACAATGAATACAGGTGAGCTCCGATTACAGACAAAATACAGGAAAGGGTGAGAGTGTCAAGGAAGCAAGGAAAGACTGAATGGAGCTGGAGAGTTTTAAGCTAAAATGCACCTGCCTGTGTGCTATTAAAACCAAAATTTTAAACTGTAATTTATTCACTTTTAAATAAAAACTGAAATGCAAATACTATTCTTGCTGCTGTGTTTGTCTTCATGATTAATAAGGAAAAGCTGTTTTCCTTTTTCAGCTTTTCAAGAGACACAAACAATAAAATAACCTATCGAACCAAATCAATCTGTATGATTCTAAAAGTAATTGTACCTTTTGTGCAGAATATTACAGCTCTTTGTAAAATATACCCTGTCTATTATCTCTTTTTTTAAGGGCATATAAATTGTAGGAACGATGATGGATACATTGAGTAGTTTTGACATGTGACTGTTTAACACTGTGGTAAACTAAAAACTTTGTAACCAGCCCATGCCTGGTGCACTGACAATACTAACATTTGAAAATGGGTGTCTCTTTTTAGGGCTTGAATTGGCAGCACTAGAAACTATCATAAAGCAATGACTGTAGAACAATTATCTTCAGCTTGTTTCTATTATTTAACCTAGCATACATGCTAGGTTCTATTTTCTTAATACTCTGACTTAAGAAATTGTTTTTTTGATAATAGTATGTATTTTTTTGCGGGGGTGCAATCTGAAAGACTGAAGGATTTCAGTAAAAAAATGTTAGCCACAAACAATTTGATGCTTTCCTCTTTGTACATGTATCAACGGCATTAAAACCAAAAGAAAAGCTAAATTTGATTGATTTGATTTCATCTCACTTCAAGTCTAGATTGACTTGAATGTCAAGCAAAGAAAATTTGATGAATTTTCTTCACAATTGCTAATAAAAAAGGAAAGCATCACAATATTTCAAATGTAAAATGAGTTACCTTTAAGCATTTTAAATTGAAAAATTGCATGCAGTGCATGCAAATCTTTAGACGCTACATTTTTATGGCCACTAATGTAACCATTAAAATATCTGCCCATTGTCCACTGCTGAATATAGCGAAAGTTTCTTTTCAGTGATTTGTGTGATTATAAACCTAGTTCCCTTTATTGTCAGAGGTGCAATTGGCAGTGATGCTTCACTTCTTAATTTGTTTGTCATACACCAATAAAAATAATAATTTACTGCAAGTGCTACAGTAGTTTGCCTCTAGGTCCTTCTTGAACAATTCTAAAACAGGTTTAGTTTTCAGAGGTGTGTGACAGTAGATTTAAGCAGTGAAAGCTGACTTTACCTGAAAATGTTGCCAACCAGTGAGGATAACAGCATTGAAGCCTTGGAGCAGTTTAATCATTAGACTGGAGTGATTCAGACCACTGGTTGTGACCAGATGAAACTCTTCCTGCCTACACGGACAGCATGACAAACAAGACTTTGTTTTTTTGAGAGTTACTGTTTCTCCCGGTTTTTGTCCTTTGTATTTTACAACAGTACAGTCCAAACAAAATATGCAATTTGCCATATTGTGTTTGCAACCTTTGCAGTGAGGTTATTTATTGATTTTTTTGTAAATATCTGCTGTGAAAACTACTAAATGTTCCTGGACATTGAAGTTTACAGCTCGTCTAAACCTACAGTATAAATAAATGTCTCGAGTCATTGGTTGGGTGAAGGTTTGGTTGATTCGAGTCTGTCAGGTTTTTCATCTAACCCATATTAGAGCGAAGGAAAATGAGTTTGTTCATTTCTTCAGCAGTGACTTGCTGCCTCCTCTTCATAGCCAGGCTCTGCTCACACACAGTCACACACTCGCTGCGTATGCCCACAGCAGGAACTGCAAGGAGCCACAGAGCCAAGCGAGCGAGCCTGGGGAACTTCTCAACCACCGTAGAGCTCCAGTACTGCAGGAGATCAGGAGTACCTTGGACAAGAGGCTCAGCCAGGTACTGAAAGATCTCTTGTCGAACTTGGCCCTGACTCTCATCTTTACCAGACACGGTGCAGGCACCCCTCGAGGGGCCGCTGTTGTTTCCACTTCCTTCAATACGGCTTATTTTCGGGGCAGAAGGGCCGTCTGCATCGCGCTCCTCTCCACCTGAACTCCCGCCGCCGCTCATACCTCCGTCCCTGCTTTCAGCAGCCATCTCACACGCACGGGTGATGATGTCTTCGTGCTGGTAGGCCGGCACTGAACGCAGTTTGAGCTGTGGGTCCAGAACCATGGCGACCTGGTGCGCCCTTTCGACCTGGACAGAAACAAATGGCACAAGATATTTTATCAAGTATTTAAAGTGAAATTGTTCTCATTCTGTTTATCTTTTTACTTTTCTTCCAATTCTAGCTTCTAGTTCTAAATCTTCATTTAATTCTGTCTTTTATTGAGATTTTTATACATCAACACATCTCAACACCTAATTTTCTGCTCTGAAAACTTAGCGGCAAACATTATCCACAATCTTCACGTGCTCAGTGTCTAATGTTAACTAGGTTGCCCCTTTATTGATATTGATATTTGCTACAAGTGCAGTCATCATATGGCATCTGAGGTGAGGGTCTTTTTATTTTAGGTCTTAGTTGTCTAATTGGGGTCCTATCTAACAAAGTGGATTGCACATAAAATTTGTGTAAATATATATATATATTTATATATATATATATACTAAAAAGTTAATTAGTCATCTTAAAACAGGACAATCCAAATAAGGATGCGGAATTGCAGTTTTATAGCCTTTTCTTCCACCTCCTTCCTAAAACCCTACTGAGATCATTTCTGCTCGTTTTACCACACAAATTAAATACATTAATAACCAGCACAATAGCAGAAAATCATGTTGTGAGACACATAGGATTTTAATTAAAAAATAAGAATTAGACATTAGTTCTTTACATATTGAACAATAAATACTTCTGATGTAAAATTATAATTACAAAAACAAAAAGTGAGCAATGTTATTCAGTACCTTAAAGTTTTCTTTAAGTGCTTCGAGGAAATAGTGGCAGAGTTTGCTAGCTGTGCCAGTTCCAGCCTCCCCTGCTTTAGAGGTGAAAAACTTCTCCAAACGCAGGTAGACGGGCAGCACCTGCTGTAAGGTCGGTCTCCTCTGGCTGCTCAGCTCCAAAGCAGCCAGGCGCAGAGGTGCCAGCAGACAAGCTAGAGTGCCTAACAGATGCTTGTTGAGACCTTGCAGAAGAGGGGCTGTGGACTTGCTGCGGCCGTAAGCCTCGCAAATGTGTTCAAAGTGAGCGTGAACCTGAAGGAGAGCTTCGGCCATACGATCCCAGCAAGGAGGCGTGGGGCATTGTGCAGACGGGAGTTGCGCACCTTCTTCAGTTGTGCTTGTGGACGTGCTGAAGCACTGTTCTTCACGGAGAGCCAGCGTGGTGGAGGAGGCGATGTCTCTGCAGGTTGCGAGAAGCTCGGCTAACTCGTGAAGCCCCCGAGCTTGGAGGCTGCGCTTTCCGAGGACCGCCTGAACAACGGCTCCCAGCGAGCAGCCGGCGCACCTCAAACATATCCGGCCCCGGCCGCCGCCTCCCAGCGGGGACCCGGCGAATCCTGCAGCCCACAGTCGCGGCTCTGAGACGTAAACAGTTCGAATGTCTGACATGACGAACTCAGACAGCACGTTCTGCACCCAGTGGTGAACCTGCTCCGGCCCTTCCCTCAGCTCGGCCTCCCTCACGCCGAGCACGTAGCGCTTGAGCTTGGACCCCTCCACCTGATAGGCCGTCAGAACGTAGCAGGCATCGGGCCCAGACGTCTGGGAGTGGCAGGTCACGGCGATGCCGAGCGAAGCGTTGGAGCCTAGAGCGCACGTGACCTTTACTTTCACCTGGTTGTACATGCGGGGAAGCTGGCGCAGCGCCAAGGCACTCATGTTGCCAAGAGCGTCGCGGGTGGAGTAGGCGCCGTGACGAGCGCCCGTATCCACAAGGGTCTGAGCCAACTTCAGGAAGTCCTTGCTGTTAAGCACATTTAGCATGCTCAGATCAGAGCACATTACCCGTAATAGGCGCTCAGCCACCTGCTGTCGCTCCTTCTCAGGTAGCCCATTATTCTCTGACAGGACAGATGAAAGACAGCTTATTAGAAACGCAGGGGAAAAAACATGAAAGGAATCATTAGTGTTCAGACTTTTAAAGGCAGAAAGCAGAAGGCATCATATTTTCACTATTCTTGGCACTATTAAACTTCTTAAAAACAACTCAGTTGTCACAAAAACAATTTTTTTATAGTTTAGACCTTATGTTGCACCTATACAATAGAAACATAAACAAAAAGAGAAAAGAGCGGCTTTAATGAGGATACTGCAGTTACATGCTGTGCCTTTAAACCACAAGACTTAATGAGGCTGCAGTACTTACGGCTGAGAGTATGATTTCTCTGAGAGATACTTTGAGGCTGGATTTGTATTTTAACTGAGGGGTGGGCCTGAGTCTGGGACCCTCTCCACTGCGGCTCTTGAGGACCCGAGGCTGAAGAGGTTTTGGGAGAGTCCCCTTTGGTGTGGTTCTCACTATCAGCTGCAGAGAAGCAGACAGAAATGCAAATAGTTTAGATTAAGGAATGTCAGAGGAGAGAAATGTATTTCAAGTAGCAAAATAGGCATCTACATAATAAACAATACCAATGATTAAACTGGCCGAACTAACAGCTGCACAACAAGTTTTATGAGAATTGCTTTTTAAGTTACTTTTTACATTTGTTTGCCTAAATGCTCACCTGCCATCGTGGACTCACCAGCGTGCGACTGCATGTGCTCCAGCAGGTTGTTGTAGAACTGAAACTGGATGCCACAGGCACCACAAGTGTAGGGCTCTGAAAACAAACAAAAAAAAAAAACAAAAACAGAGGACCTTTGACTCTTTGTCACTGAACTAATAAAATACTGAAGTGCAAGCGGAAGAACGCAAGTGAAAGGAGAAAAATACTGCATCTATTTCATATTTTATTTATTTATTTTACACAGGAAGGTGTGCCAGGACTTACTCTGTACTGTAGAGAAGGAGCTGGCCACCAGAGGGCTTGGAGTTCCTGCTGAAAAGACAACAGGAAAGAATTTAGGCGTACCGACACACTGAGCAGTTCTGCATCACTCCTTCCTCTTCTTTATTAAACCAGAGCATCCCTGCTTTTATTGGCCTTATTTGTGCAATAAAATAATTGGCAAGAGCATTTATTTAGATTTGCATCAAGCAATAGATCACTGTAAATGCTGAACTGAAAGCAAACCACAAGTGAACTCTAATAAAACATAAAAAAGGCCTCCATCCTGAATGCCACAAGGGCTGGTTTTAGCATCACCAAAACAGCTTTGAAGTTTGCAAAGCCAGCTTTAATCTAAAGCTTCTGAAAACGCAGCTGCAAACTTCACATATTATTGCCAATAAAATGTTCAAGTCTAACAAACATAAATAAATAGTTAAGGAAATGGTCTACACCATTTAAGCTGTGTGATTATGTTCTTGCTAGCTTTCAGATTAGTTTCATGAATATTTTTGCTTAATGTGATAAATTCTGTTAAATCATGTCATGAATTTTGTGCTTCATTTTTTCCCCAACTCAGTTTAATTAGTAAACAATGCCCACATAAAATAACCAAGCCTTTTGCTATGCTGCTTATGCTCATCAGCATAATTTCTCAGCTTTAAATACATTTCACATAATTGCAGCTTAAACTCAGTATGAAACATAAAAGAGGAAGAGGAATGTTTCAGGATTGTCTTTAGTGAACCCACTGAATCTATAAGTCAGTTGTGAAGGTTCAGAGTTCCTAGTATTGTTTGATATGTTTCGCAGTTTCTAATTTTTTTTTTTCTGTTTGGAGACAGATTTGCTGTAACTGTTGTGATCACAGCTGCCAAGATTATTTAGAAACCCTTTCAACAAGCTACACTTCTGAATTTGAAGGGAAAAAAGCTAATGAGCAAGTGGACTGCTACCTTAAGTAAAAACATATTATTACGCTAATTAAGCCAGAGCAACTATTTGTAATTCAGATTACCAACTGTTGCAACAATTCTGGCAAAACACTAAATTAATAACTACTTTAAAGTTTATTTTGGAAATTTATCTCAAGATGCCAACAATGGTTGTCTTAAACCCCACATGGGTGTTTCAGCCCCAACTTTATAGGCACTACTTTAGACAATATCTTAATAGTTCATCTTAAGACAACAAATCTACCACTTTGTATTTTTCTGTTTTAGACTCAAAGAAAAAGACTAAATCTAAAAGTGTTTGTTTGTCATTTCAATGTCTTTGAAGGTTTTCAGTGGGACTTTAGGGGGTTACAAGAGCTGCTGATGAGAAGTTAGTTTGAAACTTTCACATCTGAGAGGGTATAATTACTGCTCAACTATATTTAAAATGATGGTGCAATTTACTTTGCCATATACAGTAAACATTATTATTATTTCTTGTTAGTAATTTTATTTTCTTCTTTCCAGAGCCTTGTTGATCACATCGCACATTTTACAATTAGATAACTCTAAAGCAGTGGTGTCTAATCCTGGTCCTCGGGGCCACTATCTTGCATATTTTAGATGCCTCCCTGCTCCCCTGCGTGTCTTCAAGTTTTTCAGAAGCCTGGTATTCACTCATTTATTGAAACCAGTGCTACAGGTGCAGCTATAAACTGGTAAAAAGTTCCAAACTTTCCTCCACTGAAAATAAACTAACTATGGAGCATTATAGCATGATAAAATATAAAAAAGGCCCCAAAACTGTTGAGTAGTTGAAATCCAAGATTGAGCAAGAATAGAAAACATTTTATCACTGAAACCTCGACAGTTGTTTGTTGTTGGCTCCTAAACACTGGAAGTGTTGTTGAAAGAAGAGGTGATGCAACACAGTCGTAAACTTGCCCCTCTTATACTTATTTTTAAAAAAAGTGGTCAGCATCTAATTTAAAGTGAGCAAACGTTTCAAAAACAGCTTCTTGGATTTAACACTGAAAGTAGTTTTCTATCATTTCAAACTAAAAGCAGACTTGTAAATTATTGCATTCTGTTTTGGTGCACATGTTGCACTAAACCCCAACTTTTATATGGAAACGGGGCTGCGCAAATTTCCTTTCGAGGATCTGGGCTGATGTATTTTTCACTGTTATCAAAGCCAAACGAGACTGAACAAGGTCTCTAGTTTCATGATCTGAGTATGGAGAGGAATAATAATAATTCAGCTCCCAGAATTGGGTTTTATATAGTAACAGTTGATGCAAGGTAGGTCACTCAAACCTCTATACACCCTCTCCATCTCAATTTTCAGCCTATGCATGAGTGGCAAAACAATGTCAGACAAAAAAAATACATTTTCTCAAACTTTAAAACAGAAATACATTACAATACATTTTCATGCAAATGGATACAAAATGAACAAAACAAGTGACTAAGAGCTTACCGCTTGAGTTCTGCGAACTGTTTGTGTCAACCAGACTAGACTGAATTGCACTCTCCAATTTCCTTTTAAATGGGCTGTCTGTTATGGAAAACAGAGAACAAACAATGAGTGGCAAGCTCATAAAAAATAAATGGCTTTGATAATTTAAATTCAAGCGACAAGTACATACAAATCTTAAAATGATGCAAAATTAATGGCATGCCATTTAATTTAATCCTAATTCACAGCATTAAAATCCATCCTACGAAACAGCCTTGAAAAAGGATCCAAATGGTCATATTATATTTAAATATGGGTTTAATTCCTCCTCTTCATTCCATCTTTTTGACCCACTTCTAGGATGCGAGTGTGTGCCATGCTTTAAATAGGCTGAGTGCTTCTTAGCAGAACGATGGGTTGGAGTGGAGGGTGGGGGATGGTATTAGGGTAGGTGGGGGCTTGAGCCACAAAAATCCACATTTATTTGAGAAAACTCAATATTTTGACAGCTGAAACATTGAAAATGACTTTTGTGTAGTTTTGAGTGTACTTGGTTAACTTGGCAAAATACAACATCCATTTAATAAAACTTACATCTAGCAAGAGCTTAAAGTGAGAGTTTAAATCTTTTGAAGTTGCATTTTAAGGGGAGTTTATGAAACTTATATGTCTTACCTGTTGTAAATAGCTCTTTGAACAGCTTTTATTTCTGACTAAATTAACTTGATTAAATACTATTCTGAGCGGGGCCAAGATCGAAGTAGATTGTTGCAATCTCAAAACAGCTCAAAATTTAAAGGGGCGATATTATGTGCTTTCCAAGCCTATATTTCAAATTTATGCTAAAGTAAAGTAACTATGTCACATTTTCAGCTTATGAAAGAGCTATATATTTGTAAAACTCCCCAAAACAATTTACTTCTCATCTTGACAGTTTTTAAACGCCTTGAAATAGGTCTCTGTCTCTTTAAGAAAATCCAACCACTTCAGTCACGCCCATTTCAGCACGTAGCCTGCCAGAGTCGCAGAGCGGGGGGTTCGCATGTGCGTTATGATGCAGTTTACTTGGCATCTGAAAATACATTTCCTCAAAGGTATTTTGAATCTGAAAAGAGCTTCACTGAGTGAGAAGTAGTGTTGAGGGCAGCAGACAGCTTAAGTTTCACTTTCACTCGTTTGCTTTGTTACTGCCGAGAGCCTGCAGGAGTCATGGGCGGGGTGTGTGGGGTGGGGAGGTGTGCTCCGTGATGAGGAAGCTCGGCTTAAAGACACAAGCCAGGGGCGTTTCTGGTCCCCACCTGTCGTTTTGCTCCTCAGCATGGCTGCCTAAAAACGCTGCAGGTTTTCTCAAACATGCATGAATGAGACAAAGCAAGGCTTTGGGCATGTTTTTTTTATGAGAGAATAACATTATAACATGATATAAAACTCAAAAAAGTTGATTTTACATGATATTGCCCCTTTAAAAAGGTTCATAGATGTTTATGCTAATGTTATTTAAAAGAAAATATTTACGTCATTGTCAACTTTGTATTACAGGGTCGTTTACATGATTTCTATGGCTATTTTCAAGTGCAAACAGAGGCAGGAAGATCTAATGTTTGCACTGCAGCCTGGGACACTTCCAGAAGGTGTACCATAATATTTTTGCTGGAATAACCATGCAATGCAAAACTGACAGACACGTTAAGGTTTACAAAACAGCCGTTTCATGAAATGCTATGATTTTTTTTTTTTGGGACCTGTTTTATGACAGCAGCGATCCACTTTGGTCTTGGCTCTGCTAAGATTAGCCTTCATCAATCCATTCAGAAAGAAAATGTTTCTCCAAACTAAGTTTGTTACTAAATGTTACTACTCCTTCCATAGAACCTCAAATGAATATCCGAACAATCCCTTTAAAATATTTTTTTCTCATTTTACATTTTAAATCTTAATGCATTGTGATTAATTAGAATTAAAGCAAGAATTTGATACAATATGTATGCACCAAGAATTAATAATTTCAAGCTTTAATCCAAAAACCAAACCTATTTTTTTTACCCTGGCTTAGTATAAAGTAGCCAGAGTGAAATACTGTTTTAAGTACTTCTAATACACATTTAGAGAACAATAACAGTACTGTGACCATATCTAACATAAACCTACAGTAGCTAATGTCAATTGCCTTTTACTGAACTAATCTGGATTGTAATTGAAATTAATTTGACCTAATTGAAATTTGGATGTATCAAACTGTATTATAATTGGAATATAGTTAATAGGTTAGAAAGTTTGTATTGAACTGGACTAAATATTTAGTGCAAGGAATTTATTGTGAACCTTACTGAACAGAACAAATATCTCAGCTCAGTTTTTAAGTCTTTAGAGTTTGCGTTTGGTCAAACATTCCTCCCATTTTTATACTTTCCTCCCAAATTCAACACTTAAGCTATAAGAAGTGACATCACAGTGAAATATTTGGGAGACACTGACATGTGTTGTTGCTACAACGAATAAACACCATTACAGGATCTGTGAAAAGTAATAATTCTTTGGTTCATTTGTGCAAGTCATCAGAAGACTTTATGTAAATAAAAATATATAACTCACTGTTCAATGCTTTATTCGGACCTGTAAGAAAGAAAAATACAAACGATGGCATCAGATATTAGCTATCTTTCATAAACAGCACAACTGCCTGTTTCAACCTATGTAAATTGATTTAAATTGAAACTGCATCAAATTGTATTATAATTTGAATGTAGTTACTGTAATAGGTTAGAAAGTTTGTATTGAACTGAACTAACTATATACTGTATTTCTTTTAGAAATACCAGTCGTGCAATTCTACATACTGTAAGTAATTAAATATGAGAATAAAATTATACTTACTTTTTATTTTACCGGCTTGGCTGTGGCCAAATTTGCTCATGTCTATACTGCCACATTCTTGTGCCCGTGAGGTCTTCAAATCAAATGAGCCTTTATTTTGGAAGAGATACTGAGAGTCAGATACACACCAAAGTAAAACTTTACATCCATTCACCATGTTTCTGTGAGAGTACATAATATACCAGTCATAGTAAATACAGATTAATATCAGAAAAAGTTGTTAGCTTCATATAAAACATATTATGAATGAGTGATTCACTTTTTTGCATAAAATACAAAAAGATGAAAAAAAAAACTATGAAAAGATAAATAATACATGTTCTTGTTACAGTAACAAAAGTTGTGTCATATTTGTGATTTTATAAAACACATTGTGCAGTGGTTGCAGTCACACTCACTCAGTGGTGTATGAAGAGCAACATGCTCCTGGTACGGGTTGAAGTACTTGTACTGTTTCCCACAGAACTCGCAAACATAGCTTCCTGTTTCTGGAGACAAGAATACACACAAGCAATCCATTGTTTTCCAACATCATCTACGTTGGTGATGAAGCAAACATATCAGCTGAGATCAAGTTCATTGGATTACTTGTCAATTACAATGAGGAACAAAATCATTTTCTGAATTACATCTTGTGTCATTAGGAATAAGTGGAAAATAAGAGGTTTGATTTGAGATAAGGAAGGAGCTAGTGGTGCTGTTTGTGTGTTCGCTCAACTGAATTTCTGTTCAGCAGTTCCTGAGTCAGTCTCTCCTGACAGTGTGTCAAAACATCACTCCTAAAATCAATAAGAAACATTAAAGCAATGACAAGTGCAGGCCTCCCACCTGCAAACACTGCCCACTGTGTTTGAAGGGACACAAGCTGAACCTGTGGTCTTGGTGACGATGGATGAGCACTTTTTCCCCTGCGAAAGAGGACTTTTGAACTTGTAGTCTAAATCCTTGCTGACACAGAGTTAGCTTGTTAAATAGCAGTCGTGTGAAATTATTTAAGTTCTTTAGTTTGAACTGAGTTTAATACTTTGAACCACACACAGGTGGGATACAGTGGCAAATGTGTAATGGGAGTTTTTGTGCCCAATTGAAATAATGACTGGATTCTTTTCACAGGCATGCAGTTTAACAGTTGGCTTTGGTTTGTCAGCACAAGTCACATACAATATGTCACAACTCAAAAATGTCTAATAGGGGTGTCTGTAAGTCAGATAAAAATAGCTACAATTAAAACAAATATACTAATTTTAGCTGAAAGCGTCAAACTGATTGCAATCTTCTTTTACAGTTAAGCAACTATAACTACAAACTAACATTTACAGTGTTTTCTGATGTTGCTCTGCTGCGGCATGTTATTATTTTTATTAAGCTTTATTTAACCAGGCAAATTCTATTCAGATCACAGATGTCTTTTGCAAGGGCAGCCTGGGCCTGAAGGCAATCTATTGTACATGTTTTTGGTCTGTGGGAGGAAACTGGAGAACCGGGGAGAAAACGCACGCAAGCACGAGAAGAACATGCAAACTCAGCACAGAAAGACCCCCAGGTCCAAACTAGGGATCAAACCCAGGACCTCCTTGCTATGAAGCATTAGACTTTTTAATCCCAAATAACCTTTTAAAACACATTTTATAACCAGTTCAAATTAGGGGTGATGCAGTATGGGTAATGATCCCAAATAGTTTGGTAACTATTGACGTGCAATGAAATTTTGTCCAATCTGATTCCTGTTTGAGTTTAAAAATGATCCATTTGTGTTGAAAAGTTTTCACTCAGTCTTCACACAGTGGTTGATCTATCAGCTATAATATGACTACAAGATAAGACTGAATGGCCATGCACACAGTGATCTGATGTGTGATAAACTCTGCCCAGATCTCATCACTCAGGGCACACTCAGAGGGAATGTGAAACACCCTGTTCCACCTTAAGCAGTGTGAATACTAAACAAATGATTTCATGCACTGTTTAAATGAGATGCGTGGATCACAACACAACAAAAAAACAATGGAAAAGTGTCAAAAATGTTTCAGTTTTGTCAATTTTATCCTTAATAATGTTTGTTATATGTTTTATTTCAAAAATGCTGAACTATTACTCAAAAACAGAAGTACTTACTGAAATATACATTTTGAGAACTTACACCCCTAATTTAAAGAATCTAAACATAATTCAAACAGACTTACTTGGTCCAATTTTCTGATATGGTTCAACTGGCTCTTCTTCTTTGAGGCCATCAACAGGTAACACCACCTGTTCATAAGGGTCTGAGAGAGGAAAAGCAGTACTTCAATATGTAAAAAAATAAAATAAATTAACAGAAGAAAAATCCCAGACATCCCTCTCTTCAGCAACACCAGCATTCCATGACCATAATAGCTTTGTTATTAGCAGCAAACACAGTGTACAAGCTTATCTCAAATGCATTTTACTTAATCAACATTATAACTAGGCAGTGGCTACTTTAGTTTGTTTTGTGGTCTTTGAATAAAAAACTGTTAATTATGTTTTGCTGCTGTTGTAGGAAAGGTAAACTTAAACAAAAACTTGAAATGATTTATTTCATGCCAGCTCTCCATAAGACTATTTTAGGAAAATACTTTTTTTTCCAGTTTATTAGACTGCAGATAATCCCAAAGATCGCTTGTATATTTGTTGTATCTACATAGCTTTTGTACAAGTAATATTTAATTTAAACTTATGTGAATGTTAGTAATGATACAGTTTCATATTAAACTTAAGAGCAAAAAAACCAATCAATCAACAAACACTATAAAATCCAAGCAGAACTTTAGTATTTTGCAAGCGGTCGCAAAATAATATTTTAATATAACTGGAAAAGGTTTCAGTGTGATTAGGCATAAAATTATGGAAGCAATTGTGTTCCATAATGGTAATTAAAATGGATTAATAGAAATGCTGTTTCATTTTCAACATGTACCTGAATTTTTTGACTCATAAGTAAAATTATAAATAAATAATCCAAACTGTATGTTCATTTTCTTCTCCAAGACTGCTCAAAGTGTAAATTAATTAAAATGATAATTAAAACAAACTTTGACATTTAATTTTCAAAATATGTACTGCTAAAAAGTGACCAAAACTCTTTTAGAAAACTCAAATCAGAAAATTAAAATGCATTAGCAGAAATGCTTTTTCATTTCAAAGTCAAAACTGCATTTTTAACTCATAAATATAATTAGAAATCAATCTTCCAAACTTTGTTTCCATTTTCATCTTCAAGACTGCTCATTATGTGACACAACTGCAGAGAAAACAAAGAGGAAACTTTTTTTTTCTTTTTCACACCTCGCCCCCGCAAAACATGTAACAAAATTAAAATGACATCTCAATCATAGAGGTATATAAAAACACTAGTAGAGTCTCTGGCATCCTCACACGGCGGCAGCCGGGATGACTTATCTAGCCTTTATATAAAAGGTCTATGTTCACAACCCAGAAGTGGCGCAGGGGAGTGACGTCACGGCCATCGGCAAGGCGGTGTGCATTTCTTCCCCGTAGGAGACGAGGGCGCGAGGATTATATTTAGAGACTGCAGGAAAACATGTCCAAATCTGTACCAGAACTGCTAAGAGAAGCTGCAGCTGCCCTGGAACGGCAACAAAATCAACCGCATCAGCTTTGAACTCGCCTGGTTTCTTGTCTCCCACCACGCCAGCAACGCTTCAGCTCCAGAGTGTCGTAACCCTCGAGGTAAGATTTCAAGCTAGCAAGCTAAACTGACACGCAAGTAGTTTTGTTTTTATTATTGTAAACATGTAAGTTGTATATCAGCTTTAACATACGCCACAGAAGAAGACACATTTTGTGCAACTTGTCTTTGGTGGTGATAAAATGCATCCGCTCTACTGGGTATTTGTTTCCTCTCATTATATTACGTTACGTTACAATTATTAACATCCAAAATGCACAGACTAGTCCGTGTTTATGGTTGCGCTGTGTTTTAGTGGGAGCGATTCATAAGTGCCGCATTCACGAAGATCTCTTATTTTAAAGATGCCCTGATATCTTAAACTTGTCTAACTAATGTGTAACTGTCTTTATTCACAGAACTAACAAATACATTTGTCAATAAAACATTGCATTAAAATGCTTTTTGTTGACATATGTGAGAGAAACTTCTGCAGATGTGTAGGTCTATATCCTGCTGCAGCCAGTCCTGCCATTGTAAAGTAACCTCATATGTTCGCTTCTTCAGCTGCAGCTCTTCATTTCATGTGCCTGTAATGAAGATGTGAAATTAAAAGAAATATTGGAAAACTATTCTTTTTTACCACGACTGTTAATACATGAATGCAATTAATCAAACAGCTACAATCAAACAATTATTTGCTCTAGAATCAGCTGTCTTTATGTTGCTTCTCTCAGCGTTCATTCTAGAGCTGCCACAAACTATTATTTTTACAATCGATTAATCACCGATTATTTTTTCGATTAGTCGACTAATCAGATCATACGTTAACTGAATATAAAACATACAGCTTATCGCGCCAGAATGCAGCTGCTATTATATAACCATCATTAGATTTTAGCTATATGCTAACTAAAAATAATTGCTGTGGAAGGCAAGTTCTGCCTTGCAGATATTGCACAGGTTTCTCTTTCATTTTCTTAAAATGATCCCACACTTTTGAGCTACATTGCTGGGTAGCCATGATACCAGAGCCTGTCTGTATAATGTCGTGACGACCACGGCCTACCCCAGTTACCACTACTGTGCATGTGTGTCAAGGACAGAAAGGYGGATGTGGCAGTGGAAGGTGTCAAAGCAGTTTGRAGASAAAAACAAAGTAAAGAACAAAAAAAAAACCAAAAAATGATTAATCGATTATTAAATTAGTCATAGATTATTTTAATAATTGATTAGTCATCCATTAATTGACTAATCGTGGCAGCCCTAGTTCATTCTTGTCTTTCAATCTGTACAACCTGAGCTCCTCCATCTGAACAAAAAGGACTTGGCAAAGGATTCTAAATGGAAAAAGAGCAGCTTTATGTTAATAACAGAAGTCTATCATTTTAGTGTTTTCAACTGAAGGGCTTTGATATATTTATTTGAAAAAAATATGGCAGAGGAAGTTCTCTGCACAGAAAAAACATAATTTTACTGTATTTTTTAACCAAACAGACAAGTTTCTCCAGTAAAATTATTGTGTAATTTAAACACCTGGTTAAATTTAGAAGATACCTGTATTATGATTAACTACAAGCACCTGAAGCTGACTTAGAGAACTGTGATTTTAGAAAAAAAATAAGTCAAATGAAGACACGTCTTTAAGAGGCGTGCCCCCTCCTCCTCCTCTTCCTCCTCCTCACTCTCTGCGGTCCGCTCCATTTGCGTGAGATTAATACAGATTTTTTGCGCAAATGATAGATATTTGATGCTCATTATACAAGTAACCGTCTGAAGGGTTGACATGTATGAAGTCCCGGGCAGGTCAGAGCCGCGCTGCGCGTGGACAGGTGGACAGGTGGACATGTGCAGCAGCTGCGGTCAAACTGCCCCTCGCTTTAAAACCAGTCAGCTGATCTGTCACGGCTTTGTTCTGCTCGTGAACACAGTGTTACGGGGGAAATGCTGCGAGGTGCTTTTAGAAATATAATATATATAAAATACGACGTAATCCTATTACATAATCTTATTTTAAGATATCAGGGCATCTTTAAAATAAGATAGATCTTCGTGAATGCGACACTTATGAATCGCTCCCGCTAAAACACAGTGCAAACATAAACACGGACTAGTCTGTGCATTTTGGATGTTAATAATTGTAACGTAACGTAATATAATGAGAAGAAACAAATACCCGGGAGAGCGGGTGCATTTTATCACCACCAAAGACAAGTCGCACAAAATGTGTCTTCTGCTGTGGCGTATGTTAAATCTGATTTATAACTTACATGTCTACAATAATAAAAACAAAACTACTTGCGTGTCAGCTTAGCTTGCTAGCTTGAAATCTTACCTCGAGGGTTACGACACTCTGGAGCTGAGGCGTTGCTGGCGTGGTGGGAGACAAGAAACCAGGCGAGTTCAAAGCTGATGCGGTTGACTTTTGTCGCCGTTCCAGGGCAGCTGCAGCTTCTCTTAGCAGTTCTGGTACAGATTTGGACATGTTTTCCTGCAGTCTCTAAATATAATCCTCGCGCCCTCGTCTCCTGCGGGGAAGAAATACACACCGCCTTGCCCGTGGCCGTGACGTCACTCCCCTGTGCTGCTTCTGGGTTGTGAACATAGACCTTTTATATAAAGGCTAGGTAAGTCATCCCGGCTGCCGCCGTGTGAGGACGCCAGAGACTCTTCTAGTGTTTTTATATATCTCTATGATTGAGATGTCATTTTAATTTTGTTACATGTTTTGCAGGGGTGGGGTGTGAAAAAGAAAAAGCACCTTCCTCTTTGTTTTCTCTGTAGTTGTGTCACACAATGGGCAGTCTTGAAGATGAAAATGGAAGCAAAGTTTGGAAGATTGATTTCTAATTATATTTATGAGTTAAAAAATGCAGTTTTGACTTTGAAATGAAAAATCATTTCTGCTAATGCATTTTAATTTTCTGATTTGACTTTTCTAAAAGAATTTTGGTCACTTTTTAGCAGTACATATTTTGAAAATTCAATGTCAAAGTTTGTTTTAATTATCATTTTAATTAATTTACACTTTGAGCAGTCTTGAAGATGAAAATGGAAGCAAAGTTTGGATGATTGATTTTTAATTATAATTATGAGTCAAAAAATGCAGTTTTGACTTTGAAATGAAAAATCATTTCTGCTAATGCATTTTAATTTTCTGATTTGACTTTTCTAAAAGAATTTTGGTCACTTTTTAGCAGTACATATTTTGAAAAGTCAATGTCAAAGTTTGTTTGAATGATCATTTTAATTAATTTACAAATGTAGCAGCCTTGGAAAATATAATGATAATGCAGTTTGGATTATTTATTTATAATTTTACTTATGAGTCAAAAAATTCAGGTACATGTTGAAAATGAAACAGCATTTCTATTAATCCATTTTAATTACCATTATGGAATACAATTGCTTCCATATAAAATAACCTAAATATGAGACTCATTTATGCTTTTTCAGATTAGATCTGAATTTTTAAAGAAAAACAGAATTAATTTAGATGTAATCAGAATAAAAACACCCCTTTACCATCAACTGCATGCAGGTCACGATGCTCTTGGAAACAACTGTAGTATTTATATTTCTTGCCACAGATGTCACAGGAGTAACGGAAGCTACCTGCAGATGAACAGAAAGAACCGAGTTCACTACGATTCACATAAGGACTGACAGACAGAGACTTTGATGGCAGTACAGCTGGCAACTGATAAATGGAATTATGGGTAAATAATTAACTCGACACAAACATCAAACAAATGTTGCTTAATTTATGATCGACGCAGAAAATATAATGCTTACATTTTCAAAGACTTTAAAATTTAGTTACACAAATGAATGTACAAGAATCCAAGTTCCGTTTTCAGTCATTTTTTAACAGAAAAAAAGAAACACTGTGTAGGCAGACAATCAAAGAGTATAAATGAGATAAAACAGTAAGATGATTGAAAATTTACAAGAGAAATTGGGGAAAAAAGAAAGTTCTGTCCGAGCTTTAGCCTGCAAGATTGTTGCTCTGTGAACCGTGGTATAAAAAATTTGGAATCTGAACAATGTTTTTTTAACAGTAAAATCTATGATTGAATGCAAGTTATTAAAAAATCCAGATGAGGTTTAGCAAAAGTAGCCCTTTTTAATACAAACAATTTATGGCTTAAGATTTTTTTTAACAAAATCAGAATGTTTTATGGCAAATTAAATATTTCACTAAATATGATACAGCTAATTGAATAGCCTCCAAAGACACTGAGCTTGTTTTCCCTCTAAAGTTGTAAATAGACACTTACACATTCAAGCAAATCAAGTAGAATTTTGCCAATTTTTAAAACTATAAATTCAAGTGTATTAATGTTTCAAAAAGTTGACGTTGTTCCCTAACTTGTTAAAAAGGAAAAAAAACATTCTTTTATAGTCCATAATTAGCTTTGTTAGGCTTTCAGAGACCTTTCTGTTAAAGGTCAAGAGTAGGGATGGTACAAACACCCGGTATTTTTCCAGCACCAGTTCCACGTGATGAATTCTGACCGGATCGATGAGCTCCAGCATCAATGATAGCATTAATGGTAACAGAATAGTGACATGACAAGCACGGACATGGTGCATGCTGAGTTATTTAGGATAAAGAAGCTAGATTTTCCTCTCTGGCCTCGCAGTCTGCTTGTCCTGTGCTGTCAGATTGACCACGAAGGAGAGGGGCTGCTAGCAACAGAGGATTCCAGCAATGATGCTACCAGCATGCTCGGAAAGACGCAACATCACATTCAGCACAGTGTTTTCAGAGTCAGCCTATTACCGTATATACAGCGGGTAAAATAAGTATTGAACACGTCATCATTTTTCTCAGTAAATATATTACTAGAGTGCTAATGACATGAAATTTTCACCAGATGT